GAAGAGCTTCATTTCTCAGACTGAACTCAAGGGAGGAGTTAAAATAGCCCACTTCAATACAAAGACAGTGTACATTGACCTTAACAATGAATATGACCATTCTACTGTTTGGTCTAAACAATTCATGTAAATTCAAGGTTAAATGATGAGAATAGAAGCATGGAACCCTATTTTCAAGCCCAATGAGGATTCTCCAATTGTTCCAATATAGGTTATGATACCTGAATTGCCATGGCACCTCTACTATATGGAGATACTCACTCCTTTGTTATCTCCAGTAGGAAAGGCTCTATTCCTTGATCTAGCATCTTTTCAGAAGACTAGAGGTAGTATGGTTAAGGTAAAGATGTAGATTGACCTCACTAAGGAAAGACCATCTCATGTTTGGTTAGGGTATGATAAAGATCAAGATGTAAATGGTGATGGTCAATGGCTTGAAGTTCAATATGACAACCTTCCTACCTATTGCACCCACTGCAGACACCTTGGTCACTCAGTGCAAGCCTGCCCAGTCAAGCTCAAGGATCTTGAAATTCACAGAAAAAAGGAAGAAGAAAAAGGCATAGAATCAACCTCTCAGTCCAATCTTCAACAGAAATCCACAAAAAATCTCTCTACTAGTAATCAACATAAATACAACAGGCAACAAGAAAACACCAAAAGAGGGGGGCAAGACCAAACTAGTAAAAAGGCAGTAGAACACCAAAAGGAGAATCAAGTTCAAAATGAAGAAACAGCTCCACCAAAATATGACTAGCAAACATAAAGAAGGAAAATTTCAAGGGGAACTCTCAAAATAAGAAGCAAAAACAGGTTTACATGCCAAGACAACAACCAAATCAATTAGTTGTTCCTGTAACTACTGATGTAGTTCCTGCAACTGATCAACTGATTAACTTCAATCAACATTCAGGTATGGTTCCTGATGCTCTACCTATAACTGCTGATGCAGTTTTGAATGATTTTGGTGCCCAGAATCCTGTATCCCAATCCCAATCTCTCCCATGTTGTTCTATCTGATAAAGAAGCTCAAGGAGGGTTGGAGAATTGTCAGAAAAAACCTATAGAAATACAGGAAGGGGTACCTTCAGGGGTGGGAGTTCCTCATGTTTTGAATGGGTGTGCAAGTGCACAATTGGCTGGCCCTAGTTTGGACTGTCAAACCCCTGCTACCACTGTTCCTAGCCATGATCCTCATCATGTCTAGTTCTTTGAGGAACCTGAGAACTGTGAATTTACCAGTTCTGAAGAGGAATTCTCAGTTCAGGATGATGATCATATCAGGAGGTTAATGAAAGGAAAATCTAAGGCATCTGGTTTCAACATACAAACTCCTAAACCAAAAAATAAACCCAGTCAAAAAAGAAGACAAGCAATGAGGAAACGAAATGCAGGAATCAACATCAATGAACCACCTAATATTACCCAGTTTTTAAGCCCTACAATCCAGCAAAAATTCAGGCCTGATCCTAATGCAATAGAGGAATCCCCTATTTACAAGAACTTAATAATAGTCAATCCTTCCCTTTCCCAACCTCTATTATCCAATAAAGAACCAACTTCAGATGGAAATAAATCAGAGCTTCCCACCAATGATGAAAACCCCAATCCAATATACATAAATCCACTTCAGTTCCTACCAGCACTCCCAGAAAAAACCATCACTTCTACCCTCTAGAAATGGTCTTGGAGGAATGTCCTCTCAACAGATATACTCCACAGCAAGATAAATACAAATCAATTGAATCTGAGGATAAAATCATTGGTGAGAAAGATGTTGAGAATGATTCTAGTGATGAAGATCTTGAAAAAGAACAACATTGTGATCTCCTGATTGCTGCAGTGAATGGAAAGTCAAACCAGAAAAATGTTGCTTCTGCAAAAGTTCCTCCCAGAAAGATCCCTTCACCAAGGTTAACTCAGAGTAGAGCTTCTAGAAATAGAAGCGGCAGTGTCCCACCAAAACACAACCTAAAACCCTCCTTCCAATGATTAGTACAATCATTTGGAATGCAAGAGGCATCAAAACCTCTAGATCTATTGAAAGGCTCAAAATTCTAAAACACATCCACAAACTTTCATTTATTGCAGTTCTAGAACTATTCCTTGATACCTCTCATATCAACCTTTTCAAACTCCAACTTTCAATGCACCAAATTGCTTCCAATGTTACTGACAAGATTTGGTCTTTTGGGACAAAAAATTCAATGCTTCAGTCACAGATCATGATGGACAACAATTAACTTTAGAGATGAGACATGTGGAAAGTGACTCCTCTTTTTTCCTCACAGTAGTTTATGCCAAACACAAACCAATTCTGAGAAGACCATTATGGGAGGTGCTGAGACACAAATCAGCAACTTATGATTCCTTGGTGTGTAATTGGAGATTTCAATGTTATTGCCTTAGTTGAAGAGAAGATATGAGGCATTCCTTACCAAATGAACAAGAGCATGGATTTTCTGTGTATGATTGAGGATTGTGGTTTGGTTGATTTGGGCTATTATGGTTTCAGATGCACCTGGTCCAATGGTAGAGGTCAATGCTCTATTTTCTGGAAAAGGTTGGACAGGGGGCTTGCCAATGATCAATGGTTATCTGCTTTTCCATCTACTACAGTCTCTTACTTAGCATCAACAGGGTCAGATCACAACCCCTTCTCATGGAGATCAGAGTTAGGCAAGAAACTGACAACAAATATTTTAGGTTCCTTAACCTTTGGGTTGATAATGCTAATTTCAAACCATTTGTTAAGGGAATCTGGGACAAAAATGTAACTGGGAGTGTCATGTGGATATTCCATCAAAAACTGAAGGCTCTATGTACTAGTTTGAGTCAGTGGTCAAGGCAGCAATATGGAGATATATTCCAAAAATCTAAGGAATATGAAGAAAAGGTAAAGGCAGCAGAGATGGTCTGGGCACAGACCACTGAAGAAGCTGACAGGGCAAATCTTCATGATCTTAAAGCTCAGTACATAAGATACATGAAATTAGAAGAGAACTTTCTAAAACAAAAAACTCAACTTTAGTGGTTCAAAGAAGGAGATGCCAACTCTAAGTACTTCCATAGTCTCATCAGAGGTAGAAGAAGAAAACTATATATCCACAAGATCAAAGATGAAAATGGACAGTGGATTCAAGGAGATGAGGTTATTGGTAATGCAACATGTACATTCTATGATAACTAAGGAAGACAATGACATTCTGACTGTAGATCCCACCTTATTAGAGCTCAAAGAGGTAGTCTTCTCTATGAATCCCACTAGTGCAGCAGGGCCAGATGGATTCAATGACAAATTCTACCAATATTACTGGGACATCATTAAGACTGACCTCCTAAATGTTGTGCTAGCATTCTTTGGTGGTTGTATCATGCCAAAATACATACAGTGCATGCTTGGTCCTTCTTCCCAAGGTGGAATTCCCTAATTCCCTGACTTAATTAAGACCTATCAGTCTCAGCAACTTCATTAACAAGATTATATCCAAAGTCATATGCACCAGACTTGGCCTATTCTTCCCAGAATAATCTCTGCCAATCAGTTTGGTTTGATAAAGGAAGAAACATCTCTAAGAACATTATGCTTGCTCAAGAAATTGTCCATGGTATTAAGAAACCTAATGAAGAATCAAATGTTGTCATCAAATTAGACATGGCCAAAGCCTATGATAGGGTCTCCTGGAGTTTTACCTGCATAATGCTAAGGGGGATGGACTTTTGTAAAAGGATCATTGATATGATTTGGAGAACTATGTCTAACAACTGGTATTTAGTCATTGTCAATGGTTCTTGATGTGGCTTTTTCCATTCCACAAGGGGTCTTAAACAAGGTGACCCCCTTGTTCCATCTTTATTCAGCATAGGGGCTGAACTTCTATCTAGTATTCTCAATATCCTCAATCATGACCAACTATGCAATGGTTTTTATATGGAAAGAAGGGGACCTCAAGTCAATCATCCAAGCTTTCCTGATGATATCATCATCTTCACTTCTGGGAAAATGTTCTCACTTTAGAAAATCATGTGTATCTTGAACAATTATGAAGACACATCTGGTTAGCAGATTAATAGACACAAAAGTCACTTCATGACTTCTCCTTATGCCTTCCAATCTATAGTTAGAAGAATCCAATTTAATACAGGATTCACCAAAAAGTTATCTCCCCTCACATACCTAGGTTGTCCTTTGTACACTGGTAGGTTGAGAATCAATCACTTCAACATCCTTGTCTCCAAGATTGTAAGCAGAATCAGGGGTTGGCATGGTAAAATACTGTCTCATAGAGGAAGAGTCACTCTGATTAAATATGTTTTACAATCTATGTCGATCCACTTACTGTCAGCTGTCTCCCCTCCTAAGACAGTAATGGAAAAGCTTGCAGCAAATTTCTTTTAGGGAATGGAAATCAACAAAAAGAAGTACCATTGGGCTTCATGGCACAAACTATGCTATCCTGTGAATGAAGGTGGTTTAGGCTTCAGGAGAATTGAGGACATATGCAAATCTATGGAATATAAGCAATGGTGGCACTTCAGAACTACTCAGTCCCTACGGAGTAGTTTCCTAAAAGCCAAGTATTACCAGAATTCTAACCCCATCTCCTTTGGGATTCAGGCCAGTCACAAGCTTGGAAAAGACTAATGACAAACAAAAGAGAAGCTGAGAAGAATATCCATTGGAGACTTATACAGGGAATTGCAGTTTCTAGTGGGACAACTGGTTAGGAGTTGGGCCTCTAGCTTCTCACAGACATGAAGGAGGCAGGCTAGGAAATGTCACAGTTTCCTATTTTCTTGGACACCGGCCAGTGGAACATCCAAAAACACAATGATATTGCCCCTACCAACATGATCCATGTGATCATGCAGACTCCCATCTTCTTCAACAACAATGCACAAGATGAAGGTATTTGGAGCCCTACCACTAATGGTAGATTTACCTGTGCATCTGCCTGGGAGCTTATCAGGATAAAAAACAACCTAACTTCTCTAATAAGATGACCTGGCATAAGAAGATCCCATTCAAGTGGTCATTTTGCCTATGGAGAGTCATCAAAAATAAGCTTCCTACTGATGATGGGGTGTTATCCTTCTGCAGCCCTACTGTGACCAGGTGTGTGTGCTGCTCTTTTCACACCAATGAAACTATTGACCATCTCTTCAGTAGGGGAAACTTTGCCAGAATAGTGTGGAATAAGTTTGAAGGTCCAGTTGGAATTCAGACTGAAGAATTTCCCCTCAGACTCCTTCTGATGAGGTGGTGGCTCTTACACAACAACAATGAAGTCCAAAAACTCATTCTACACTACCTACCTATCATAGTTTGTTGGAACCTATGGAAGAACAGGTATATTGCCAAGTATGGAGCAAAATCCACCTCTTTAACAAGAGTTTTGTTCTCTATTAATTCTGACATCAACATGTTGCTGAGAGCCAATTTTCTAGAAGTCAAGTGGCCTCTCAATTGGCAGGAACTCTACCCCTTCATTGAGAACCTAAAACACCAAACCTTCTCTGCTCAAGTAGTATGGAGTAAACCAAGCCATGGCTATGTGAAGGTCAACAATGATGGGAGTGCACTCACAAATCGAGGCAGGATTGGTGTAGGAGTGATCATCAGAGATCACTACTCTGAGTTCATTCATGCATCTGCAGCTCCTTTAGGGGAAGGGACCAACAACTTTGTAAAAACTGAAGCAGCTCTTATAGGAATCCAATGGTGCCTGAATAATGGATTCACTAAGGTCCATTTGGAATCAAACTCTGCACTCTTAATTCAGTGGCTAACCAGTGGTAGAAACTTCCCATGGTCTCTTAAGATGAAGTTACATCAGCTCCTTGATCTCTGCAACCTCTGTGAGAGTTTCAAATGCTCACATACCTACAGGGAAGCCAAATGTCCTGCAGACTCCTTGTCAAAACTCAATCATGATCTCACCACTATAACTGAGTATCACAATGCCTCTGCACTACCTACCCACATCAGAGGATTAATTCTGCAAGATTACCTGAGTACTCCTGCTTTCAGACACAAGAGAACCAGAAGGATTCTGGTTCCTCCACACCATGCAAGATCCTCTACTTCATCTCATGGTTATGGTTGATGCAGCCTTAAAAATGGGGACCCAATCATCAGTCCAAATGAAGAACACAAGGCAACAGCTAAGGGCAATCATTGCCAATGCTAACCTATTTTTCCTTTTTGCAAGTACCATCATTCTGGGAATGCATAGCCCATTGCTCTATCCTTAGAGTGTGGTATTAACATCATTGTTGTTAAATCTGCTGAGGATGGATCAATGGATTGGAGCAAACCTCAACACACACACTCATTACAACTATGTCCTCAAACAACATAGTACCAACTTCCATATGTCCAAACAAAAAGACTGAAAAACCAAAAAGAAATGAAATCCACTCCACCAATAAGTGCTCCAACATACACCCTCTATCACACTGCTACATTGTCTCCTTGAACCCACAAGAACTTAGGAGACCTGTATGCAAACAACAGAAACCAAAAACTAAGCAGAAATGCATATTTTTCTAACTCTGTTTTCTTTTTTTGCAAGTTGCCCTAATTATGTGATGCTCACTCAATTGATGTATATCCAGGGTGTGGTATTCGCATCTATGATGCTCATTCTCCTAGAAATACATCAGTTGAGTGGAGAAGCAAATCCAAATGCAGAAACCTGCTATCTCAGCAGGTTCAGAATCTGCTTTCTAACATCCCAGTCTCAGGCAACCCAAGCATGCCATAGCCTCAACCAATGGTTCAAAAATCACCCCTTCAACATACCAAATGAAGCAGCAGCTCCCAATGCAAGAGCTCATAGAATCAGCATAATAGCTGGGCAACTTCTCAGCTGACACTGCTGCAATCTCTATTCTTTATGCAGCCACTCACTCAGAAGCAATCCCCAGTACTTCCATCCCCACAAAAAGCTATAATCCTTATACAACAATCCCATCATACCTTCAGCAACCATAATTCAAACCCCCTATTTCATAACCCAGATCCCATTGATGCTCCTAGAAGACATAAGAACCTGGGAGCAGAACTTCTCATTCCACAAAGTTGTCACAATACATCCATCATCTTTTCAGAATACCACCTTTCAGCACCTCATTTCATACCTCCCCTTAAGTGTTGTGTCTATCACACCCCTATCTACAACAGTGCTCCCAGTACACACAAGAACCTGGGAGCAAAAAGTTTTACACTAATTTGTTTGCTTCTTGTTGCAGGTTACAGGAACCGGCCCAAAATATTGAAGAAATTACAAGGAGTGGTATTAGCATTCTCAATACTCAACATCCTGCAATTGTTTCAATTTTCATGGGCCTGTTATGACCCTCAAAACATGATGCCCCTCTGCTATGGATTCATCAGTAGCAACATTAAGGAAATTCCATATGTAGCAGTTTGGACAACAGGCAAGCAGAATCATAATTGCCCAAGTTCTCAGCAGCTACTACACCCTATGTTGCAGGCGAAACATTTCATCATCTGCACAGACTTCCAGTTGATCATTTCAAGGGACCCAGATCTGGTCCAACCACCATGTCAAGCAACCAATTTCACAAGCATAGGATCTCAGATTGTGCAGAATCTAGGTAGAATAAGGCTAAGGTCACAAACTTAACCACATTGCAATGCCCAATCACTTTGCGCCAACATCAGAAGATCACTCAATGCAACAACTCCTTCAGAAATCACAAGTCACTTGCAAACATAAAAGCATGACAATGCTCAATCTTTTTTGTCAAGGATGCCAGGTAGTATCAACACATAAGCCTAGCATCTTGGGCCTCTTTTGTCAGCTATCTTCAATTTGCTTTCCTTGGCACCATTGTCAAAGCAAAGTTGAAGATAGTCCCCTCCATTATCACATGATTTTTGTCATTCTTCTTAGGGATTTTCTGCATAATTCTAAATGCAGATCTTGTTGTATATGGAAGATGACTTTCCAACTCACCTCTTTTGTAGATTTAGGATCATTTGTGCTATTTTGTATAGTTGACCTATGTTTGCTTCATTCTGATTTTGTATATCCAATTGACTACCATTGTTTGATAGTCAATTGGAACATCAGTATAGGTCTAACTCATCATAGCATTCAGATTTTACCTGGCTGTCATATTTTGATAACCAGGTGTTCATGTACCATATTTTTGGAGGTCAGGTCTATGCCCCCTCCTTTGTTGTACCTTTCCTTTTATATATGAAAATTATCCCTAAGCATAATGTTTAGTGGACTTTGTTAAAAAAAAACTGTAAACCTTAAACCTTGAACCCTGAAATATAACATAGAGGAAACATAATTTAGGGGATTGGGGCTAAGATACTCAAAATGATCGGCGGGGTCGTTACATCCTTCCCCTCTTAAAACAAACGTTCGTCCTCGAACGAGTATAGAGACATACCTGAAGTGGTAAAAAGATGAGGATATCAGCTACGCATATCATGCTCGATCTCCCAATTCACCTCTTCGACTGTCCGTCTGTTTGAGGGTGAAATGCTATACTCAACTCAACCTGGGTGCCTAATTCATGTTTTACGACTATCAAAACCACGATGTAAACTGCGTACCCTAATCAGAGATGATAAATAACGGAACGACATGAAGCCTTAAAATCTCATGAATATAAATGTGAGCCAGCTGCTCTGAAGAATAGATAGTCACCACTAGAATAAAATGAGCTGGCTTGGTCAGCCTATCCACAATCACCCAAACCGTAACGAACTTCCTCTGAGTCCGTGGGAGCCCAACAACAAAATCCATAGTAATCCGCACCCATTTCCACTCTGGTATCTCTAACCTCTGAAGCAATCCACCAGGCCGCTAATGCTCATACTTCGACTGCTGACAGTTTAAGCACCGGGCTACATATTCCACTATGCCCTTCTTCATTCGTTTCCACTAATAGTGCTGCCTTAAGTCCTGATACATCTTTGCAACACCTGGATGAATGAAGTACTGCAAACGATGGCTCTCCTAAAGAATCAACTCACGCAAACCATCTACATTGGGCACACATAACCTGCCCTGCATCCGTAATACACCGTTATCTCCAATAGTGATCTCATTGGCATCACCATGCTGAACCGTGTCCTTACGGAAAAGGAGATGGGGGTTGTCATACTGACGCTCTCTGATACGATCATGAAGAGAAGATCGAGAAACCATATAAGCCAAAACTCAACTCGGCTCAGAAACATCCAATCTAACAAACTGGTTGGTCAAGGCCTGAACATCCAAGGTTAATGGCCTCTCTACTACCGGTAGATATGCTAGCTGCCCAAAGTCTTTACCTTGCGACTCAAGGCATCGGCCACCACATTGTCCTTCCCGGGATGATATACAATGGTGATATCATAGTCTTTAAGCAACTCTAACCACCTCCGCTACCGCAAGTTATGATCCTTCAATTTGAACAGATTCTCTAGACTATGGTGATTAGTGCAGATCTCACAAGGAACATCGTACAAATAGAGCCGCCATATCTTCAAGGCATGAACAATAGCTGCTAACTCGAGGTCGTAGACAGGATAGTTTTCTTATGCACCTTCAGCTGTCTAGATGCGTAGGCAATCACCCTACTGTCCTATATCAACACCGTGCCAAGACCAATACACGATGCATCACAATATACAGTATAAGATCCCGAAGGCAACACCAACACTAGGGCCATGGTCAAAGCTGTCTTGAGCTTTTGAAAGCTTTACTCGCACTCCTCGATCCACCTAAACGGAGCACCCTTCTGGGTCAGTCTCGTCATAGGTTCTGCAATAGACGAGAAACCCTATACAAATCGATGGTAATACCCCGCCAAACCAAGAAAACTCCGGATCTCCATAGCTGAAGACAGTCTAGGCCAACTCTACACTGCTTAAATCTTATTCGGATCCACCTTTATCCCCTCACTCGATACTATATGACCCAAAAATTCCACCGAATCTAGCCAGCATTCACACTTTGAAAATTATGCATATAAGTTATTTTCTCTCAAGGTCTGAAGCACAGTCCTCAGGTGCTGCTCATGATTCCCCCAGCTCCGGGAGTACACAGAATGTCATCAATAAACACAATGGTAAATGAGTCAAGATTGGGCCGGAATACACTGTTCATCAAGTGCATGAACGCTGCTAGGGCGTTGGACATCACAAGGAACTCGTAATCACCATACCGAGTGCTGAAGCCAATCTTCAGGATATATGGCTCTTGAATCTTCAACTGATGATAGCTCGAACATAAGTCAATCTTAGAGAACACTCTGGCACCCTGTAGCTGATCAAATAGGTCATCAATATGTGGGAATGGATACCCGTTCTTCACTATAACCTTGTTCAACTAATGATAATCAATACACATTCGCATAGAACCATCCTTCTTCTTTCAAACAGGACTAGAACACCCCAAGGCGACACATTGGGCCGAATGAAGCCCTTATCAAGCAACTCCTGCAACTATTCCGTTAACTCTTTCAACTCTGGTGGGGCCATATGATATGGAGGAATAGAGATAGGCTGAGTGCCCAAATTCGATATCCCTATTATGGGGCATGCCCGATAGATCCGCTAGAAATACATCTAGATCATCCCTCACTACTGGAACCGACTCAACGGTAGGGGCATCAATACTGATAGCTCTCACATATGTTAGATACACATCATACCCCTTCTCAACCATCTGTCGAACCATTAGAACTAAAATAACCCTACTAGGAACATAATCTTTTACCTCTCTACTCTAATCGCGGAGGACCTGACATAGCCAACGTCACCATCTTGGTGTGACAATCAAGGATAGCATGATAGGGAGACAACTAGTCCATGCCCCAAATAACATAAAAATCTACCATACTAAGCAACAATAGATCAACCCTAGTCTCAAAACCACTAAGAACAACCAAACACGACCATACACACGGTCATCAACAAGGGAATCTCCCACAGGTGTGGACACATATATTGGATTAATTGGACAAAGTCTAGATTTTAAGCTATTTGCCGCGGTTGTGTTAGCAGAAGCATTATCTAAGGTGATAGTTAAAACTTTATTAATGAGTCCATAAAAATCAAGTATTTGTAGAACAG